GTGAAGGCGAAGTGTGGAGGGAACGGCGGAGAAGGTGCTACAATAAGGCCTTTCCGGTGGAAGCGCTTCATCCCTAACAGCGTCTTTCTGGGCTTGGGAAGGATGTGCAGAAGAGGGAGGAGAATTGGGAAAGCAAATCCCTGGGGTTTGCCTGCTCTCAGGGCCTCCAGGGACCTGGTTGCTTCCATCCAGCCACCGAACAAGTTTGATACGTGCCGTCCGTGTCGATGGGCGCGAGAGGCGTGAGGGCAGCGAGACCGTGGGGGTCTGTGGGCCTTGGGAACCCTCCTGGGTTCTCGCTGGCTGGGCGTGCCTTCCTCCTCGTGTCGACACGACTACCCTGATCCCTGTGTTTGTGCCCCGTGCTCTAGAGCTGGTGAAGGCTTCGGGGTGGTTCTCTGTTACCCCAAGCAGGGTGGTGGGGTCCCCAGTGCTGTTGTTTTCCTTCCTTCCACCAGCTTTATGCGTCTCCTCCTTCTGGAGATGCACATGGGTTGGATGTTTCCGCCTCTGCCTAGCTGGGCATCGAAGCATCAGAAACAAATAGTTTTGAGGGAGCTGCTCGCCGGGGTGGTGCCTCCTGTTGTTTTAACGATTGCAGAGGCATAACCCTTTCTCTTTTTTTTGTATGGGAAGGAGCTGTCTGGGTGAGGCAGAGCAGTGCTTCTCTTCCCTAGCGTCTGCTTTGCATTCCCTGCAGACGTGTTCGATATTTGCCATTCCGATACCGCCGCTTTAGAACGCGTTTTAGGCGCTGGGGAGTTAACTCTGATAGATGGCTTGTGAATTGTTTGTTGCTGCGAAAGGCTTTTTCTTTTCTTCTGATAGACTGGGGGAAAAAAGAAAAAGAAAAGCATCGATAAGTTATTTGTGTTTAAAAGCAGCCCTTCTATGATTTGTATTCATTAAAGAAACATCTTGACTAAGGTTTTTATGCCCTTCGTAAATGGACAGGTGGGCCAGAGCGCTGCTCGTCCACTTCCTTCTTTGACTGACACCTGCAGAGTTTTCCCTAGCCTGAGCAGACAAATTGAGTGGTTTGTGCCCCCATCTTCCTCTGTTGAGCTGTTTTGCTGCTTCTTTTTCAGGGTAAATTCACGCTGCTGCGAGACACCAGAACAGATGGCAGCTTCCTGGTGCACCATTTCCTCTCCTTCTACCTCCGAGGTGGGTCAGCAGCAGGACCCTCCGAGGCAAAGGATTTGCCTTTACCGGCTCCTTGGAGGTTCCTTCTGTGTTAAAGTGTTTCTGCGTGAGCAGAGGCTGGTTTTGCAGAGCGTGCGGCATCCTCAGATGAGCGCAAAGCTCCACTGGAATTGATGGATCCCAGTCCTGACTTGCTCTGTGCCCTTGGGTACTTCCTGGAACATTTACGCTCTTTATTCCGTCATTAGTGAACGTTGTAAATCACACGGACGTCTTGACAGTGAGGTGTTGACTGTAATTCCTTCACTAGCTAGGTGTTCTACAATGTAATTAAAAATTACATATTTAATGACTGGCTGGTGGTGAGTGAAGAAACAAAAGACCCAGGCATGTTGCCTAATTCCTTTTTTTGCTAAATTTCACCTGTAGGTAACGTACAGGACTCATGGACCGCTCTGGCTTCCTGCTGGCGAAGTGAATCCGGCGCCTCTTGGACTTGAAACTTAGCTCAGGGCGCTGTGCGGGCGGCGGGGCTGAGGCCATCCTGCCCCACATGACTGCTGCTTCCTTAGCTATGGTTTTATGCCCACAAAAAACTTGTTTTGTTAAAGGAACGGAGTGATGCCGCAGGAAAGCCCGGCCAGAGTGGGTTATTAACAGCCTGAAGTCCCTCAGAGGCTGAGTGCCAGCATCTCTGCATCCGTAGCACCCCCCTGTTGTCCAAGTACCCTCTTCGTGGTCAAAACCTTGGCGAGCTCCCGAGGGGAGGTGAAGGCTCCAGTGGCGCCGCTGACTTGTTCCACTTGAAATCCGTGTCCTGCTGTCTGGCAGGGAGAAACAAAAATACCGATTTTGTCCGTCCCCGTCACACGCCGGGTTTTCCAAAAATCCCATTCCAGTGAGGTGTCTTTCTCAAAATTGCTTGTTCTGTGTATTTTTCGGGTCAAGGTCACTTGCCCTGTGAGAGCCCAAATGGGGATTTTTGGCATGTCAGTAGTTTCAGGAGTTCGTGTCATGGTCGGCCGTTGGCCTCCTTGCAGGAACAACAGCAAACAGTGCCGGGAGATCTCAGGGCAGGATGGCATGGAACGGAAAAGAGGCCTCCTTTTTTTATGTTACCTTTTTCTTGTTCTTTTCCTTTCTTTTTTTAAACTGACTAACGTTTTCCCTAATGTGGAAATCCGATAGAAAGGTGAAAATTGAAAGCCCAGCCGTGAGCAAGTAAAGGGCTGCCGAGATCTGTCTCACCTCAAGGCCTTTCCAGACAGATTTGTAGCCTGGCTGCTGTGATTTATGCCCTTCGATAATTGCAGCTTGCAAAACTGAAATGATAACGTGTCTTTTTGTCTTCTCCCCCAGCCGGCTGTAAGGTTTGCTTTGTGGCCCTGCTCCAGTCCTTCAGTCACTACAACATTGTCGCACAGAAGCTGGTAAGTCCCTTGGCGTAGGGTAAGAATGACACACCTGGGCGGTTTCTGTTGGGTGGAAAGGAATGAGAATGGGGAACAGGAATTGCTTGTGAGCAAATGTTCCCAGATCTTGGTGCCTCTGAGGCTGGGGATGGAGAGGGCTTCTCGCTGCAGAGGGGATGTGATTTTAGGGTAAAAAAAACCTGGCTACGAAGCTCAATGCAAGGGCTCCACTAGGCTTTGCTCTGAAGAGGGCAGAGAGCTGAATGACTGCTTGCATTCGTCGTGCTTAGAGATATTTTCTGGAGAGCAGCATTTTCCAGAGAGGCCCAGACTGGTAGATGCAGATTCATTAGCGCTCAGGAGAGAAAAATACTGCGGTGTCTGAGTTCCTAGGGTCTCTCTGTGCCTGCAGGATGCACTGGCTGTACACAATGAGCTCCTGAGGTGGCTTTATCCTCTGTCCTCTGCGGTTGTGTTGTGGTTCTGCTGGACATCCCAGCAGTGCTGCTGCTTGTAAAAACTTCCAGGTGTTGAAGAACGATGTGTTGCAACGCCGGTGGATTCCCCGTTGTAAATGTGGGTTGAGTTTTGGTGCTTGCCAAACAACTGGCTTTCATTTACTACTCGAGTTTTGGCCTTTTAAAAGGAGATTGATGATCTGAGAGCTCAGACCGAAGCTAAATAAAATGGACAGAGCAAACGAAGTGTTTCCCTGAGGAGCTTTAACTCCCAGGAAAGAACTCGCCACGCGATTTCCCTGCAGAGCAGATTCGCTGCTGCTGAGCAAGGCAGCCTCTGTGAGTGCTTAGTCCTCACCTTCGTGTTGCAGAGAGGAGAAAACCTTGGGGGGAACTCAGTAAGCGGGACAGGCAACAGGGCGTAGCAAGTGCTGGAGATTCGATGATTCAATCTGGGATCCTTCCCTGCTCTCAAAGCAGGAACCTGTTTGCCGACGTGTTTCCTAATCTGGTGAAATTTCCCTACGCGCGGCTTGTGCGCGTGCTTTTAATAGGTGCTGTTGTCATCTCCCCCGTGGGAGAGTCTGAGAAGGGAGAGAAACATGAGGATTAGCCGGAGCGCACGTGCAATGCAAATCGAAATGATTTGCTGCCTGACGCTTCCACCAAAAGATTACTGACGTGAAGGGAGGTGATAAGAACGATGCAGTTTGCCCGGGGGAGTTGAGAGAAGCGATTACGGTTGCCCGCAGCGTGAGCTGTCCCTGTCCCGTTGGTTTCGTGGCTGAGTCAGTCTTAACGTTCGAACCTCGCAGGTGCCCGTGTGCTTGATGGTTGTGGGTTCTCCCGAAGCTCTTGAGGAGCTGGAGGTTGTAACATCAGTTATTTATATCTGCCTTGTCTGCGTTGTCTTTGCTTTAACCCTTCTTTGCCTAAGTGAACACATCAGGCTCAGTAAAGGTGATTTTTGGCAGAGGAGTTTCACTCTTAGAATTGCTGCAGAATTGGCTGCTGCAGACGTGCCGAGATGTCATTTCCCCGGCTGCAGCAAACCTTGATCTTGGGCCCTACCCTGAGCTGCATCGTGCTGCCGTTTGGTGAGCTCCCTTCCCCTCTCCTGTCGTACAGTCTTTACAGCAATGTTTTGTGTAGCTCCTCACGTGTGGTGATACACTGAATATTTACACCTAGCTGAAGTAGCTTTGCGTGCTGCTTCCTCTGCTGCCAGGTCTTCCCAGTCCAGAACCAGTTCCTTATGGGTTAGCTAAATGCAGTGATGTATTTTAACTTGCAGGAAAGAGCTTCTGTGGATTTTTGTGCCTCTGCTGGCTCTGCAATACTTGCTTCACGCTTCTTTTTCTGCAAATCCGGCTCTTTCCATGAGGATCTGCATTTAATTTTAAGGGACAGTTAATGTTATTTGTTGTGACCTTGTAGAGAACAAGACTAATGGCACTGGGGCAGCCTGCCAGGTTGGTGTTTGCACCAACAATATTGTGCAATATTTGCTTTGTTTTAAAAGAAAAAACATCCTTGTCCTTGTTTGCTCTCCCTCTTGCCTGCAGTGCTGAGATCTCAGACCAGAGAGTCACCTCTGCTTTCCCCCGCAGCTGGTTGTGCTGGAGGAGACCTTGGCCGGTTGTCACACGTTGTACCACAGCCACGTTCACTGTCTGAGCTAACGACCGCTGCCTCCCACGCTCCATTACTACCTCTCTCCTGCAAATATTTTCCTTTCCCGTGCGATACGGTTTTTTTGGTTTGAAGGGACAGCGCTGCTGGCAGGCCCCTGGGCTGCCGCGCTGCCCGGTTCGCGACGCGTCGGATTGGCAGGAACAATTGTGCTCTGACGCGGAGCTGGCGGCTCCGGTCACGCCGAGCGGCTGTTTCAGAAGCGTTTCTGGGCTTGATCGATAAATGACAGATTGCCAGAGATAATGCCTCTGTGCTCCCGGCGATCATGGAGCGTGGTGCTGGGAGATAATGAAAGCTTTCAGGGCTGGGAGTTCACACTGCTTGGGTGCTCTGCAGCAGGGATGCAGGAAGTGTCTGGGGCAGTCAGGAAGGTGCCCGGTTCCCCAGTTGGAAGATTAAACTGGACTTGCTGGGTCCACCCAGGAACGGCATGGCATCGAGGCGATCGGATTCCTGGTCTGAGCCACGAGCGTGATGCCTTCCCCTCACGTTGTGGCTCTTCTCTCTGGCAGCACTAAGCTGCTGGGTATTTTAAAGAGGGGACAGTTTTCTTCCTGAGAGTTTGTGTGTGCAAATGGCCAAAGCAAAGTTAAAATCAGGTTCTGAATTACCAGCATTAACAGTGAATTTAGTCGGTGCTGTAGCAAAGCATTTCGGCACGTGCTGAGTCCCGTGGGCTCCAAAAACACCCGAGGGGATGAGGTTTGTGAGACTTCCATGCAACCTGGCCCCACTTTATGGCGCATCAGGTGTTTTCCAGCCGTCCCCCGCTCCTGCCTGTCACAAAAAGTTCTGTCCCTGGCTGGAAATTTTTCCATCGGGTGTGCTTGCAGTTGCCCAAGAGGCTTCCTTTAGTTCTCTATTCCTGCCCTGCTTTCTGGCACAGGTTGAGTGAGCAAATAGCACCTGCAAAAGCTGAATCTGTCCTCCTGCAGCCCACATCAGCCTCCATGGGGCTTGGGGCTGGCGGGATGTATGACAGGGAGAGCCCTGTGGTCTCTAAGAATCTCATTGGTGAAATTGCAGCTCCTGGCTTGCCTGGGAGAAGAGGGGAAAAGCGGAGACAACGTGGATTAGATTAGGCAGGAATGTGCTGCAACACTGGCTGGTTAATGCTGTTCAGTGAGAAAGTGCTTGAAAACAAAAAGGGATGTGTCCAAAAGCACAGGTGGGACCGGTTTTCTCCCAGAACTGTGTGTGGAAGTCCAGGAAAAAACCAAACAGGCTGGCTTAAAAGCTGAACCTGAGGTGGAGGGGCACGGGGGACAGCCTTCACCCTGACGTAGCCTCTGTTTGTCAGAATATCCGCCGGCCGTGGTGGAAGACGTTGCCTCTGCTTCGTTGTTTTTTAATTCCTGTAGACAGCATTGTCGGGCAGCAGCCCTGATGGATGGATTTCTGCCCCTCGCCTTGCAGCTGGGAGGGAAAGCAGCGCAAATCTGTGTTTCCTCTCATTAGCGCGGAGCGTGTGGCAGCTGATAAGCCTGGCGGGAGCTCGGGGTCGATCTTCCTGGCAAGGGCCTCTTCCTTATCTGCCCAGACCTTCTCCTTGGAGGTCCTTGTGTGGAAATGCCACGTTCACAGAGCTGCTGGGCCCAGCCCCGTGTAGGGATTATCTCATTGATCAGGTGCTTAAGGTGTGCCGTTACAATCTTTATTTTTTTAATTATTTAAAATAAAAAAGGGAAGAAAAGGAGGGTTAAAATGTTGGCGCTTACGTTTTCCTGTCAGAGTAACAGAAAGATCAAGCAGGCGAAACACGGGTTAGGGAGCAGGAGGCAGAAGTGGACGCGTTGCTTTGCTGCATCTCCCTCTCGTGTGCGAGCAAAGAGCGTGGTGACTCTCGGGGGTGTCGCCAGGACTGGGAGACGCTTGGAAAACCTCCAAGGTCTTTTCAGAAGAAGGTGTTGGGATGGCGCCAAGCCCAGTGCTCTGTTTGGTGCTCAAGATCTTGAGGAAATTGCTGCTCCGAGCTTTCTCCTTGCTGGGCGACTCAGACTCTGTGCTCAAGTGTCCTGCAGCTCCCAGCACGGTTGCTTAGGGAATAAGCAAAAATGTGTATTTTATTCGATGCTTAAAGGGTTCCCGGTCATGAGCACCAGCCTCTTCCAGCATTCAAGCAGAAATTAGTCTCAGCTTAAGGTGAGGGCTCCTGCTCCTGCACTAGGACCTGTCTCTGTTCCTGACCAGTCCTGCTCAGCCTCCCCCTCTTGGGGCGACCCAAAGGAGCATCTTCTCGTGGGAAATATGGGAACTGCTTTTTCAGCATCCTTGTTTCTGTTCCTCTGGCTCACCAATTCTGCCTGTCAAACAATGAGCTACATTTCCCTGAACTCTTTGTACACCATCTATCTTCCCATCTTGTCCACCTACCTGCTGCGTTGCGCAACCGCCTGATTTCCAGGCTGCCGAGACGCTGCGTGTCTTGGCGTCAGGTGTCAGCGCTCCCAGGTTCCTTTTTAAGAAGTCGCAGTCCCATTGTGAAACGGGGGAAGCAGCCCACGCTGGGGAGCTGAGCGAGTTGGCACTTCTTGCCGGGAAATGCGCAGCCTGGCTGAGGTTTGAAGAGAACGCGCATGAGATACTCTTGTATGATCGTGTCAGTACCAGGTACTAAATTTTCTTCTGAATTTGGACTTAAGCAGTTACTGCTAAGCTGAGGAGCTATAGAACAGTTGGCAAAAGTAATCCTGGCTGATGAAAGAAAGGAAGATGAGACAGGAGTTCATGAACTAGATCTTCTGTTGCGTCTCCTGCAAGTCTGCTGCAACTCTGCCAGGGCTTTCTCCCTTGGGGCCAGACATTCCCAACATTCCCAATTTTGGGGTCAGCCTCATCTTCAGGCAGAGCTGAGAGCGGGAAACCTTGGCTTGAGTCTGAGCTGCGGCCCCACGCAGTTTGTCACGGTCCCTTCTTCTCTGAAGGGCAGTTGGGGCTGAGGCTGCTTCTCGTGGGAGCGCCCCGGCCAGGCTGCTCTCTCCTGGGGGTTGCGCAAGCGTCAGGCTGCCCGGCCCATGGCGTTCTCCGGATCCGGGCTGCGCCTGGCTGAGGTGTGTGGGTTGTCAGGGAGTCGTTACTGCCACATCCATGATGTGGAGATAGTGAAAACAAAAGGCTTTTGCCACCCAACAAGGGAGGGTGAAGAAATTGCTCACGGCAGGCTCCTGGGGCAGCCTGGAAAAGCCTGTACCTATCCTCTCCCTGCCTTTGGAGAAGAAGCTGTTTTTCTCCTGTGCCACGAGGCTGTCTTTCCAGCAGCAATTCCAGGATGTTTGAGCCCCCAGATCACAATTTTTAAATTTTTTTTTTACCTTCTAGCAAAATAGAGGAGAGTGAATGTGTCCACCAGTGTGATAGAACTGCCTGTTTCGTTCCCTGTGTAGGACTCGCTGACTTTATTAGCACATTTGGATAAGATGCAATAAAAATCGTGTGTTGATCCGCTTGGTTCTGCCTGCACCGTTCCTCCAAAGCTGATTGCTCTGCAGCAGCATGTTTTTTTCTCTTGAGGGGGTCAGTCTGACAGCTGCCAAAGAGCAGGGCCAGCTCGTCTTCTTGGAAGGCCTCAAGTCCTGCCTCGACCTCGTGTTTGGAGAAGAGGAGGAGCAGCCAGGACAGCCCAGACCCCTTCAGTTTGTCAGGTAAACCCGAGCAGTTGGTGGTTCTGCCAGGGCCCAGCAGAGCCCCCAGCACGGAGCGTTTCCCCCGTGTATCCCTTCCACTGCAGGCAACACGGAGAGCAGCAGCGAGGTCCAGGCTGAGACCTGGCTCCCTTTGGGCTTCCCTCCGGGGTCCAAGGACTCAGTAGCTTGACACCGAAGTGAAGGGAAATGTCAGCACTTGTCCTGCCCTGCTTCCCCCTGCTGCTCAGAGAGGGATTGTGTCCCCCTTCTCTGGCATTTTGGGGTGATTTCTGCCCCCATCCTCATTGCCAAACATGTTACAGGTCTAGAGAAAATGCCTTTCAGTACTCAACAGGGTTGTGTCAAATAAAACTCCATCCAAGTGGTTTTATTCCTTTTTTTTCCTAATTATTGAGTTTTATTCTAATCCAAGAGAAAGGTGCTGCTTTAACCATGCAGTTTTATTCCCACTTCACTTTCTCCATGTCCTTGATGATTTGTTTGGAAAAATAAACTAAAAAATCCACTGAGGGCCGTTCAAGTGGCAGATGTCACCTCGGGGGTATATAATCACTCCGCGTTGGGTCAGCGGCTGAGGAAGGCGATGCACAACGTACGCGTGCGACAAGTCCCTTTGAAACCTCCTTCTTTTCCAGCGAGAGCTCTCCCAGCCTCAAAGCCTTGTTTGACTTTGTCCGGACGTCGCTGACTCCCGCCAGCGGTGACTCCTGGAAGAGCCCTGTCCTGCTGGTGGACGACCTCGGTGTCCTGCTCAGCCTGGGGGCCGCGCCGGTGGCCGTGCTGGACTTCATCCACTACTGCAGGGTCGCCGTGTGCTCCCAGCTGAAGGTACCTCTCCCTCTGCGTGCAGGGGACCTAACGCTATGGGCAAGGAGAAAAGCCTTTTCTTTTTTCACGTGGGTGTGGTGAGGTTTTGGAAGGCTTCAGCTGTCCCAAGAAACGCAAATCATTGCTCTAAGGCCCCTCTCAGGGAGTTAGTCGCCGGAGTAAGTGCACCTGGTTTCCCAGGAGGGGAAGGGCTCGCTCCATCCCTGATGTGTGAGCAGGGATTCAAGGTGTAAAACACTGGTTTTTAGAGTTCCTGGCTCTCTGGATTCTCTACTCACGCCTGTGTTGGTGTGTGTGTGGGAGGGCAGGGAAGGAAACAAGTTATGAAGGTAGCAAGGGGCTGATGAGTCTCCCCAGGGACAGAGGTGAAGGTCCACTTGGAGGGGATGCGAGTATCTTCGGCGTTCCTGTGCGTTGCACCGTCTGGTTTTTAAGGGCGTGTGACAATGTAGCACTTCTGCAAAGATCTCCCCGGTGATGTGGTGACTTCTGAGAGCATTGCAGCCAAAAATGATTACAGTCACATCCATCCTTTGCTATTTACATGGCAGCGTCCCCCAGCCTGGCCACTTCTCTCTCTGCTTGGGTGAGAAATAAAGTAGACAGTGTCGGGTTTTGTTCGCCTGCACTTCGAGTGGTACTGGGGCATTTGGGCTGGAAATGCTGACAGGGAGTGTTCTGATTACTGAGAATATTTGCCTCCCAAACAGCTAAACAAGACGATAAATCTTGCTAACACATTTCTATTTCTGTCAGATGTTCTGAAGCTTTAAAGTACATTTTAATTGATGGGGAATTTCATGTTATTTTGAGTCCCTGGTGACCTGCATGGGCTGAGGCAGAGACTCTTGGGATGTATTTTTAATAGAGCCCGTGTTGCGTTGGGGAGCTCTTTGCTTCTTGCGAGAGCCGAGAAGGTTCGAACGCCGTTCGGTCGCGTCTTTAATTAGCTGTCGTGAGTTCAGTCGGAGAGTTGCCATTTGCGTGGCCCGACAGACTGGTTTAACTCGACAGCTGCCTCGTCACAAAGGCTTGGTGTATTTTTAGGCTGCGTATTACATACGTGTGTGTGTATATGTACACAAAATACATATGCAGCAAGCTGTTTCAGCAAAATATGTGTTCAGCAATCTGTTTATATATGTACCTGCTGTTTATTTTCCCAGTGGACTTAAGCTCAGAACCAGCTGCTGTGCTTCTAAGTAGCTTAGTTAGCAAGGCATTTGCGCAAGCTCCTGTTGCTATCTCCCTTCCTTACCTCAGCAGGGTTAGGAATTGGCTGGAGGCTCAGCACCGTGCGTTGCTCTCGTTCCAGGGAAACATCGTGGTGCTGGTCCACAGCAATGAGGAGTCAGAAGACGAGGAAAACGAACTGGTGGTGAACTCTCTGTGTCATCACAGTGACCTGATCCTGTGGGTCGAGGGGCTGGCGACCGGCTTCTGCAAGGATGTTCACGGGCAGGTAACGCACGAGAGAGGTGGCACGTGTTAATGTCAAACCCGGCACTGCCTGCAGGCCCAGGGGCAGGTGAGACACGCTCCATGTGCCCCACAGGAGATGGCCCAGGACCAGCCTGGTCTGCAGCACGTCTAAGGACTAACGAGGGACCAAGGGGGCTGGTTACCGGCGCCCATGTGATGGCTCTTAGACCAGTTATCCCCCCTCCCTGCAGCCCAGTGAGAGGCGTGGGGGGTGCACATGCTGTGGCTGGTGCAGCCAGAGGGATGATATTGTTGTTTTCTTTCCCTTTGCAGATTAAAATAATTAGGAGAGTGTCCTTGGAGCTGACGGCGGAGCAGGATCTCGTCCAGACCTACCAGTATAAGATCCAGGACAGGAACGTCACTTTTTTTGCTAGAGGGCTGTCAGCTGCGGTCCTGTGAGGCTGCAGCCTGGCACGGCGCTGCGAGAGCAACGTAGAGCAGTGCCGGGGAGGCTGGTACCTCTAGGCTGGATGTGCCACCAGACCAGCCTGGCTGCATCCCCAGCGCCTTCCGAGAGTGCTAAACTGACCTGGGAGGAAAGCTCAACCGTGTGTTGAACTGTGTGCCAGCGAGGGGATTAGCCTGCCCAGAGCTTGCTGCATCTCTTTGTCCTCCCACCCCATTCCCAAGGTATGCAGGCCAAGAAAAAGAGCAAAAACGTGCAAGAATGGCCCTTAGAGCATGTAAATACAAGCAGGGAGGATGCCCGTGGGCTGGGCCTGCCTCACCTTTTCAGGTGAAGTGCCAGGCTCTGCTGCTTAGAGGGATCGCCCCACCCTCCTGCTGGCATTTAACGAGATGACACAGAGCGGGGTGGAGGCAGGGATGGTCTTGGGAGCGTGTCGCAATTCTTACCTTTCTCCCAGCTCTGGCACGAGAGAGGTTTGCTCCACTCCCAGCTTCCACACAATAAAAAAAAATAAATCTATAGCTACAAGTGCAGCCCCTCACTTTGCTGCGGTGCGCCGCCACAGCTGCCTCACTCGGTTGATCCCTTGCTTTGTTTTGTTGCCCTCTTTTCACATAAAACCCTCGTGCTCGTGTGTGTCTGTTTGTTCCTGGCTTTGGGGGATGGACAGATGCTTGTACACGAGCCTGTTGCAGTTAGTAATGATCACAAATCATTACTAGTGATCACAAATCATTACTAATCATTACTAATAATCACAAATCATTACTAATCATTACTAGTGATCACAAATCATTACTAATCATTACTAATGATCACAAGTCATTACTAATCATTACTAGTGATCACAAATCATTACTAACACCCATGTGACCTGCCTGTATTGAAGCATTATTGGGGGCTAATAATCACTCGTTTTAATTCGATTACAGTCTTTAAGTCAGTGTGGATCTCTGTACAGGAGCTGCTCCCCACAAGCTTCCTGGCAGGGAAGAGAAATGGGCATCTCCCAAGCCTGAGTGAGGAGAGGGCTTTAGGTCCCTCTCCACAGAGGTGAGGGTTGGTCCCAGAAGCAGAGCTCAGGCCCGGAGGTTTCCTGGTTGATGCTCCAGCTGTAACGGGAGATAAATAACATCCTACACGCTTGTGAGAGACAGGAGTGACTTGCCAGGTCCTTTACAGCTCCAGAGCTGGGGTAACAACTCCAGCAGTGGGATGTGTTCCTGCTCTTTCCGTGCAGGAACGCCGCATGGCTCGGTGACCTGCCACGGGTTTGGCAACAGCCACCTTTGGCTTGAGTTTGGGGAGCCCTGGCACGGTCAGAGGCGGCAGCTGCTTATTGATAGCAGCCCGGGGAGACTGGGCAGGCTTTGGAGACTGTGGTGAGTGCCAAGGAAGTAGGAGGGGGAATGAGGACCTCATGTGTGCTTTAGGATCGCTGGACCCTGCTGTATCAGAATGTAATCCGTGGGTTTCCCCGTGCTGCCGAGGAAGTCGTGTCCGGGCAGACAGATCCCGAGGGAAGCATGTCGGTGCTTGGAGTCCCCAGCCCGGTAGCTGTGGCACTGGGAAGCAGCCAGATCCAGAGCTCACAGGCCCCAAACCCCTGTCCAGCCTCAGCGTGGAGGCAGAGCTGAGGACATGGCTTGGGGTCCCCAGGAACCCCCCAAGCTGTGCACAGAGCCTGCGACTCTGGGAAGGTTCCTCCCAGCTGCTGGTGCCCGGCCCGGCCGTGGTACCGCTGCTTGTGGGTGCAGAGCACCGCTCCTTGCCCTGGCTGAGGCAGGACGGTGGGTCAGTCTCTTCTTGTGTCACACAAACCTTGAGGCTGGTGCCTCCTGGTCCTTGTTGCGGTAAAACGTGGTTCTCGGCCACCAGCAGCGGGAGTGGCAGAGCCCAGCGCTGCTGGCCCAGTGTGGTGGAGGGTCTGGTCATGATCTTCGAAGGGAGGACAAGTAGGTCTTGGGGATGGGAGCTGCTGCCTTTGGTTGCTGGAGGCACTACAGCTGCCTAAAATGCACCTGTAAGGGGCATATAATGGTGCGTAAGTGAAGTCATACCTTGTATGATTAGCTTCACTTTGGAG